CCCAACTGAACTTCAATGGCTAATCCTTTAGATCATGAAGCAAGGCCAATTCAAATGACAAAAAGATAGCTGAATGCAAGAGCCATATGAAAGAAGCTCAATGATTACAAGAACCTTGCCATGTTGTTATGAAGATCATCGGTAAGTAGCGATGTTCATTTGCTTTTACCCTTCTAAACAGATGATGGTTCCTTCCGTCCAAAGAACAAAATCCAAATTTGATCGTATTTGTTGTTCCACCGTTTGAGTTTGTAAGATTCAAGCGCCATCGAAAAACGTATCCTCAACAACAAAAACTTGACCCTCTCCCAACCCGTCTAAAGGTGAAATAAGAAATCGCCCACTATTCATGCATATTCGAACAGAAACTTCATAAGAATGTTGAACATCTCATATTATAAACACATAAGAGAACCCTTGACAGTTTGATGTCTGGTAGTGTTTCACACTCCTTCCAGCATTCTCTCGTCATTCTCGAAGCGACCGCACACTCACTTGAGTTATTTCTCGTCTGATGAGCACTTCTCCTCAAGAAACACAAATATATGATCCCAACCCCACCCCAATATGATCAAATCACAAGAATTAAAGCTTTCGGACATACCTTTTGGAGAAAACGTATGCTACGAATATGATACAATAAATTCATTGCGTAAGAGTGAGGTCAACTGATTCGCATATTTTTGAAAATACTCGACTCTTATAATGCAGCTAGCCTGATAACCAATATGCACGATGCTCATTCATGTTTCAATAAATCTTCCTCCACAGATGTTTTTTGATCTGCTAGCACCATTCAGACCACATTCTTTTATTATGTTTGTAGGTGGATTTGAATTGTCTGGCACTCGGTTTTGTCGTATTCCTGCCTCAAGCATACAAACTTTATCCATTCCCCACCCCCTTTCAAGTGGTATTATTCTTATTCAGAATGAAGAAAACATGTCGATGAAATATTTCGTTAACTTTGGTTGAAGTTTAATAATGACTGCGTCGAAACACTTGCGTGTAGAACAATACTGCTGGAGTGATATCAATGAAGAAATTGAGCAAAACTTGTTCAACTGGATGAAGAGTGCATTGAGTGTTCTGTGAGATTACTATCGCCAAGCAGCAATGCTTTCTGAATGGACCGTAACAAAACTGTGATATCCGAACTCTATTCCAAAGCGAACATCTGATCAACCACAGACAGCAAGTCACCTGTTGGCACTGAACGCCTACTGAAAAAATGAATAAGATTCGAGTACCCCGCCCATCCCGAATAAACTGTTCATGTTTCTTCTTCTTCGTTGGAAATTTTAGACTGCAAGTAGAAAGAAAAGTGGAAAGACAGAACAGAAGAACTCTTCTCTTCTCAGACAGGTGCACACTGATTCGTCGATGTTTTTCGGGGCGCATGGCTTAGGCCACCATCGCAGACGATCAGATGTAATTCCTGGATTCAAGGTTAAAACTGTGGTGAGTGACACGTAAAAATGATTGGCGCTATATGTGAGTACTGCTGCGGCGTTATGATTGGTTGTCTGTAGGAATGAAGCATTTCTGCAAACAAAACTTGTTCTGTTGATGATATCCTAGACTGAGCGAAATTTATGATCAAAACGAACGAGTGGGTAGATTTTGAAATAGATGAATTGAATTTAGAGTTGAGTCGTGGCTGAGGCACACAGAACTGGAGGTTTGATATTCAGATTGAAATTGAAAAAAGTAATGAAACCAATTTGTCGAAAATTGCACAGACTGAAACCGAAATCAGATGGATGGACGGATGGGTGGTATTTTGTTGCTATGATGCTTGATTAGCGTCGTTATCATGATGCTGGCATAGGATGATGAGCGTTCTGAATCCATGCACGTTTGCCGTCATTTTGTCGCAATCGCCACAGTGATACATTTGCTCAGTTTTCCTGTTCTGCACATAAGTTGGACGATTGGGCGGATGGTGAATTAACACGAATTTCTTTGTGACGTATTAACGATTGTCTATCCTCTATCTTTTTCTTTCTTCTCCAAATTTTACACCACGCAGACCATGCTTCATATAGTAGTAGCGAAAGCGAAATTATCTACGCCCTGTTGAATTTTTGCCTAGCGCTCGATGACTTGAGACGACATTGTAGATGTCCGATGTATTTTCTAGTAGACATATCACAGAATGATCTTCGAGAGCTTTTAAGTTGATCTTACGTTATTCCAAAACGTTCTTCATTTCTTCTACATTAAACCATAGATATACTTCGGATTCATTATAGATATCACGCAGATCCGTTTGTTTCAAGAGCAGCATGAAAGAAATCTATTAACGGAAACGAGCAAACTGATTTTGAGCGGCAGACCACAGCCATAGAGTGAGTGTGTTCCATCTAACATTGCAAGATTGACTTTCATTCCTCGGATATCCTCATCTGATCAGTTCGTGGAAGACGTTTGGTCGGTTCATTCACAATGTACTGCGAAAAGCAATCAAGCTGGCGATATTATCTGGCAAAATGGCCATTTGTCTCCAATATTTCTTGATTCTTGCTCGAAATATTTATTAACGGATAATCTTAGTTGGATTGATTTCTTTTCTTAGAGTGGTTGATGCTTGCTTATAGTTTGAAGTGGTGTTAATAGAGCTATTACTGTTCCGAACAATAGAATAATGTCGTATTCTTGATTACATTGCCTCTTGCGTTATTATGTTCATATACTTTTAAAGATCGTTTTTGACCTCAGTTTAATAATTTTACAATTCTGGATAGACTGTACCGCGAGTACCATTGGTTCTCGTTCTCCTATAGTTCTCTTACAAATACGACGATATGCATTTGGACGTTTGCGGAGTGGACGCTTCGGATGTTGTCGAAAGAATGATCACTTGATGACTTCGTCGTACTAAAATATGAAAAACACNACACCCCCTCCCGATTAAGCACGAAATGGAAATCAAAACCTCCAACACTTTTAAAAACTTCTAACGAATCATCCTTATACAACCTGAAATCGCGGAGCGCCTCCTCACAGAATACTTCTCTCCATCGCCATCTTAGAAACACAACCAAATTATACAAAACTGATTCGAACTGTGAAAGAAATGTGCAATAAGCATGGGATGTTGTGCAATAGTCTTCAGTATGTGTGTGTCTGACGGTATTAATAGAAAAGTCGCTCGCTGACACAGAAGTTCAGACGGCTTCCGGAGTATGCCGGCCAGCCCGCTGAGTGCCATTCTCTTGATCTAAAAGTTCAGAATTGCTCGTGCGATTCTATTTTTTGAGTGAATGCATTTCCAAATTTTTCTTTGAGTGAACGGATTTCCAAATTTTGACACGACCTATGCCTAACCGACTGCCAAAAAAATTCATGGAATTTTCAAGTCTAGGCACATCAAAATGTCAACTCAAAGCACCTGTCATTCAAATGCCACCTGAGATGGGGCATCGCAGCGTTTCTCTCTTTTCACTGCTTCCACCTTTGTCGTACGCTTGCTTGCATACTTGCTGATCACGAAACAATCTATAATATGCACTCAGGTTCAAACAACATTATTATCAATTCATTTTCTCATTTATATTTTCTTCTTCAAAAATAAACACTGTAAAACACATTATTTACATGAGAAAAGGAACTGGTGCCTTCAACAATAACAAATAACACCACACCAACAATTCCATGAACTTATATTGCCACTCCAGATTCATCTGAACCTCTCCGACCCGACCGTATAATCTAAATATGTCAATTGAATTAGTCAGCCCTGACATGATTATGGCCTAAAATTATTTGAATTATTCAAATCAGAATGCGAGCATACACAGTGGCGCACCAGTTCCTTGTTTGAGCAACACTTAGAAAGATATATATACATCCATATGAGATCAACGGGAACCAGACATGAACGGTCAAATATGAATATCAGTGTTTCACGCGACTGCTGTAGCAACTGATGATCGTACACTGTATGATGATATATTGAGGTTGCCGCTTCCTTTTGAAGAATGCTGATCGTATCCTGTAAGCAACATTGCAATTACAATGGGTACACAGAAGCAATTTATGTTAAAGAGTGGCCTTTTGCAGTAGCAGTGTGAGATTTACACCTATCAACATTTCTGAATCCATGGAATCGGATACATGATCCACATTTTGTCGAACGTGTTTGGGTATTATTCACGATGAGCTGAGTGCTTCATACATAATATGAATGTTTTACAAGACACATCGCCGACTTAACCTCGACACACGTTTGATAGCCACATGTGGACAGCATGAGCTCGAACGGAGACTCACGTCAAGCTACTACTGAAAGCATACAACAACCCCNCCCCTTCCCGTTACAAAACAATAACGATTGAACTACAAAATATCTCTCGAAACTTCATACTATATCATTTCGAAGCAATGATTACTATGTCAACTTCACATAAAAGACTTCTTGATATGGCACAACACTCTAGTGCTCAGTTGATCATAGGGATACGGTAGCGCACAATCGCAGACAATACAATATATAGTAGAAGAATGAATTATCACCTAAGACTTGTATCAAATTGTGACCCCACAACTCCACTTCAATAATATTGTAAATGAGAATTCGAATCCAGTGATGTCATAGCGGCCACAACCTACCAATAAACTGCCATAAGCATTCACTGGTTCGTAAAACGATGAAATGAAACGAAAACAAACCTGTTGATAACGACGATGGAATCCGCCCGTAGTATTCGGCGAAAATCGCATCCAAACCAAATGGATCCGAATCGTCGTTAGGACGTTTCACCTTAGCTGGTGGTTCCAGATTCGTAAACTGCTTCTGTGTCACCACCTCACCATAACCATCGTACTCTTGCTGAACAACTAACTGTTGCATTTCATCAACGTTATCACTACGTCCACCAACAAAACTATTGTTGTTGATATTCTGAGAGTGTGGAGTGCCGGTCAATTCGACCGAACAACTCGTATCCGAACTAGTGACTGTAGCAGTATGCGACATACTCTCAGGATCCGACCACTCACGTTTGCGTTGTTGCTGTTCGAGTTCCATGGGAACTGTAGCTGCTGGTGTTGGCGCTGTTGCTGCTGCNTGCTGCTGCAGGAGAGTTGGAGCGTCGTCGGCGACCATGCTTGGAACGCCGATGTTTGCGCCGTCGAGCACGTCCTTCGCCAAGGAACTTGCATAACGATTGAATCAATCCTGTATGCATCAATTCTTCGCGTAAATCACGTTCCTTGCGACTGTAAGCGATACGACGTTTACGAATGGCCACTGAGAGCAATTGGGTTGGATTCATCTCATCGCTTTCGACATCCGAAGAGCTCTGAGAGGAGGATGATGAAGACGATGAATAACCGAAAGAGGAAGAATGCACAAAGCTAAGCGGGGCCATCATCAATACGTGTAGGGGATGGATAAACGAGGATCCAAGTCGATAGCTATCACACGACGAAATATAGGTAAATACCGTAGGCCACACACAATTCAATCACCGAAGGCACTACTCAGGCAATGCAATAACCCTGTGACTGATTCTTCGAGCGATGTGCGGCGCTTTTATACGACCGTAGTACACGCCTCCTCCGCTCGCGAAATAGCGCTGAGTTTAGTGTGCGTATTTTGAGGTGAAAAAATGCAAATTACGAAAGTTTCTCATCATCTTTGATTGATACGGATGTGTTTTTCAAGAAAATCTACATTTCGAGAATGTAGCGAAACTATCTCAAGAATTCCTTTTTTTTCCACATACATTCCGGTCGCGCTGCGTGCCACGCAGTAACAATCCTACGCAAGAAAATTCGATAAGGTGACGTCAACGCCAAGCAACTGGAGTGCTGACTCACTCAGGAAAACCTGTTAGTGCGGAAGCTCAATGGAGGAAGCGAAAAACGAAAAATCTATTTCAAAATGTAGCTGCGTCCAGAAATGTCGACGAAATCACCGTGCCGTCAACCAAAAAATGCTTTCCTGGAATTTCATGATTGAGGGTTACAATTGAGCTATTTCGTTATGAAACTACAGCAGTCGTATTCAATATAGACTAAATTTTTTGGTAACTAATCGTACAAACAATGCAGAAGTGTTACGATATATGTTCCCAGCTTGAATTTTTCCCAGTATGTTTGTGCAACTGTTTGTAGCTCTTTCAGGAACTTCCAATTCTGTGTTACACTCGAAAAGAATAAGAGAGGGAGATGTGCATAACAGTTATGAAAAAGTCAACCAGATGTACTAATTTCCAGATTCACTATTCAGTGTTTGTATTGCCATTCAAAAAAATTAAGCGCAACATTTTTGAAAATTCTCCTGCTCATTCTTTTAAACGATATTACGAAGTAAACACAGTGCTTTCGATGTTCTAAATTTAGCATAAAATTCCAGTAAACATAGTGTCTTGTGATTTGGATTATTTATTTACGTGTCGTTTGTGTGCATCGAAAATCGAGAATACGGAATAATTTATTTCGAAATTATTTTTATTCTCCACACATTAAACTGGGACAGAGATTGTTGATGGATGTGTGATGTGCTCTGCTCCTTTCACTTTGTTATCGTATACAAATCGGACGCACGCGTCGCATTACCAATTCACCAATTAAAAACGTAATGTGGTGTGTGCGTTAGGCGAAACATAATACGGCAGACGGCAAAACGAAATATCGATTTGCCCAATCGCGTGTCGCGTAATGGATTGTGAATAATAGCAGATGCCTATGAGCGAGCTCTGATCCCTTACGAATGTCTATCTCACCCCAGCAACAATAAAATAAACCTTGTGATTGAAATGAAACTAGATAAGAGCTACACATGCATGCCTGGCTCAATGAAGGGACGTTTGGCAGTATTGTGAATGGTTTCTCTGATTGTCAGTATAATGCGATGGAATAGTTAAGACGAAACACCTACCGTACCACCCAATATCAGGTGATGTATTGATTAGGGACCATCTCAAAGCGATATCTCGTTAGTAGTGGTTGTAACACAATATTGCATATCTAATCGATCGAGGGACCTACTATGAACCGTGTAAAGTTATTCGAATGCAACGAACAGCTATCATTGCTCAAAATCCTCAATTGTGCTGAAGAATTGATGAGATCTTACTCATGCAAAAATCTCGTGATTTCAGTTTGTTCAGACACGTCAGCAATATTGTTTATGCAAAATATTACGAAAATGTTTTATCATGGCGTATATGTGTACGCACATACCTGATTATTATTATTATTACGAGCGCTCGTGACTGATAATAATAATTCCTTCGTGATCGTAAACATGTTAGTTAACAATCACAGAACATCCATCCATATTCCTCAATAACTCTTTATGTGAGTGAATGAATAATCATGCACTTGACGCATCGGCAAGTAAGTGATTTCATTAAGTGGGTCAGGGATTGGGTTAGGTCATATCTAATCTAGCGTATGTATGCCCCAAACAACTTTAACAACGAACAGAGAAGAAAAGTCTTTATTCGAAGCAATGAACAAGAACAAAGTACACTGCTGGAAGAAGCAAAATGAAATGGAAGAAAAAATAAATAACGTAACGTAAAGCAAAGTGATTAATCAAAAGAAACCAAATCAAATATATCAAAATCAAATTGATCACGTTCATGCGAAACAAATCAATAATGCCAATCACAACCCTAATACTAATAATAATAACAGTGTTAGCCGTTTTAATAATTAATCCTAATGCTAACGACAAAACTAGCAACGACACCAACAATTCGCAAGTATAAACAGCACCGAGTATAACCTGGAACAAAAAAGCCAGCAGTTTTTCCAAAATTACTTTCGAAACAACCATGATAACGACGCATAAGAAGAAATATTGTGAACTTGGGGAGTTTGCTTAAGAAAATCATACAGTTTTCTGTTCGCTCCGTTGTAACCGATGAGGATAACTTAGTCTATTACATCAAGCATTTCGGAAATTGAGTTCAGCTGCTTCAAAATAATGATTCCGAGAGGCATAACTCCGGAATGATAACTTGCCCTGAATAAAGGCGATGTTCTGCTTTTAGCATACATTTTCTGCTTCTGTATCGTAGAATATGAGTAGACTGATCGGATAACTGTAGTGTAAAGACAAAAGATTTAAGCTCTATCGATAAGATCATATGGGTAACTCCTGAATGAGACGTTTTGATTTTAGATAACTGACATTTGGAATGCTCAAGTCCTGTTCTATTTAAAAATATCTCAGAACTTCACTAAATTTTGAACCAAACCTGAGCATGCTGCTATCGTAAACATGGAAATCTGAGAATATGTGTTCTGTCAATATCAAATTATTGATCTGTTGTTCGAGATCGAATGCTTTGATGAACTGGACACTGTAGAAGGTCTCAGTCATATCCTATATCATAAGTTAACATATCAACGGGGCCCAATTTTGATTGAAGAGGTTCAACTCAATTAGATGTGAGTTAAAATGCCAATTTTGGTTTTGTTGTGCATAAATACTGAAAAAGTTTCACCATAGCGAACAAATCCGAGTGTAAGCGAAGTCTGGAAATGCCACTAAACGGGATCTGTTAATTGTATTCAGTAAGTTCATTCGGTCGATTCAGTGCGAGTTTCATACATATTTATCGGTAATTTATGTATTACGTATATTATTGTCATCTTTATTGTGATATTGGTATTCAGTCGTTATTATGAGGTAATGTTGCATTAACATTTGACAATCCATGGAATCATTATAGAAAAACTTTATTCATAAACGACCAGTTGAACGTATCACAATGCAAACATATTTAAACTCTTCAGAACTCGTTCTTTTTGTAAAGTTATAACCAGCTGGTTATAGTGAT